TGGGGTGAGCTGCACACGTCAGCCCCTCCAGGCAGTCTCAGCTATGGATTGGCACTACTTGTTTGCAGTTTCCCTTTATGACTTAAATCTTGAACGTGATATATCTGGGTCTTGAGGGTGGCTGGAACTTCTAGGCAGTTGGTAATGATTTCAGTGGCCTTTCCTATCATGGATTATTTTGTTGGCCTGATTATGGGGAGACTGGGCTGGTTAAAATGGGGTATAAACACTCATCTTCCCCAGGTGGAGTTGGCTGATGTCTCTCTGCCTGACCTCACCTTCACCTCCATCCTCAACCATGCACAATATGAGAGTACGGCTGGAGAACTGGGCCTGGATGGGCTGTGGCAGCCAGCTGCTGATAAAGTTGTAATTTGCTTAATCATGGGGCGCGTCATCGCTGGGCCTCCCTGGGTGTTCTCTCCTCTTGGGCTCCTGTCAGGTCCATGCCAGACCTTCTTATTCTGCTTTACAAATCCTGTAACATTTCCTTTCTATTTTCCATTTCCTTTTGTGTATGGTAATCCTTCTCTGGATTTCCTTGGATGTATCTTCCACTACGCTAATACTTTCTTCAAAGTGTCTAATCTGCTATTTAACCTACCCAGTGAATTCTATCAACAATTACATTTTTCATTTCTAAAAGTACTCGTTTAAAAACTGTGTCTGCTCATCCCGGATAGCCTTTCATTGCTTTCTCATTGCTATGAGTGTCTTCTCTCTGCACACATTTCGTACAGAACTACTGTCTTGGCTGCATTACCTGGCAATTTCACTCTCTGCAGTTCTTTGAGGTTGATGTGCAGTTTGCTGTTTTCATTGACCCTCATTCAGTGAGAGCTTTCCGTGTGGCTGGTGATTTCTGTAAGCTCACTGTTTGACTTTATAAACAGGAACACCACAGATCTAAGTAGGGGAAGCTTTCCTCCATCGGTATCTGAGAGGCACCATGAACCGGGGACCCCTGAGCCTGTCTGAGGACCTTGGCTCAGGACTGGAGTCCCAGTCCCAGTTTCCCACCTCACTGGCCAAGAGCTGTGGTGCCACTGAATCCACTCTGAGGGCAACTCTGTCCCTACAGGCTGCACAAACCTGACCCAAAGCTCATGTTTTAAATAGTGGACGGGGCGCCTGGGTGGCTCAGTTGGTTAAGGGACCGACTCACTTTTGGCTCAGGTCATGATCTCACAGTTCATGAGATTGAGCCCTGTATAGGCTCTGCGCTGACAGCACAGAGCACGTTTGGGATTCTCTCCCCACCCCCCCACCCCCCCGTGTCCCTCCACAACTGATTTTGAGAGAGCGTTCTCTCTCAAAATAAACATAAAAGAATGAAATAGGTGCCCGCAAGAGTCCTAGACTTGTGCTGTTTTTGAGTTCCAACCAGTAACAGGACCCAGAATAATTCACCATCAGCAGTTAAGCTAGAGCAAACGATTACCATGAAGTGGCACCAAACCACAGTATGACCAGGATAGATTTGGATCATGGAGCTGGAACCCAGGACTCAGGTCCAGGTGGCTGCTCAGATCAATCTTCCTCATGACCATAAACTTCCAGCAACAGGACCTCACTCAACTCATCATGGCAGAGTTCTAGGACACGCAAGAAAGGCCCCTCGCCATCCCCACCGGCAGCTAGCACAGACCCACATCCAGGACGCTGTTGCAGCGCGATGCGAAGTGTTAGGACGCAAATAGTGAATTCACTGACATTTTGCTTTCTGCTTTCTCTGACTGCAGACTGCAAGGTCCTGTGAGTGAGCACATTTCTCGCACCCTTTCACACCCCCAGGGCACCTGGACCTGCTTGTGCACATTTAGCTCATCTGCTGATTACACCTGAAGCAGCAGCTCAGGAGTCCCCACCCCTGCGAGCTCTCCCCAGCCTCGCCCCATCACACGTGTGCACCTCCCTGTGCTTCTGTCCCTGGAGGTGCTTCTGTTCCTGGGCTCTTTGCTGGGCACTTCATGGGTTGTTACCCCGTCTCCCACCCTCTAACCTGTGAAGTCCCTGCGTGCAGATGTCACGTGAACTTGTCTGCCAGCACAGTGGCACAGAGCCTGGACAAAATGGGTTGAGGAAACATTTGTTGAAAGTACAGATGTCTTAAACTCCCTTCGCTGGTGCCGCCTTTCCCAGGCTGAGCAGAGTCTCCAAGCTGCAAGCTCTGAAAGCGGATCTGTGTTCTCGCCGCCTCCCACCAGCCCATGGTCTCCTCTGGGTGCCTTTCAACGCTCCCTACGCTTCCCTCTTCGGTGGGGTGTGCTCTGCTTTGGCGTTTTCTGTGCCACGGGCTGTGTTGCAACACTTCTGGGACAGGGGCGCCTACTTGGACAGAGAGACACAGACATAAACAGCTTTGATACAAAGCAGTGACTCCTGCCTTTTAAAAAGTGCTATAGAACCAAACAAGAAAGAAAACGAACAGAAACAGAAAAACTGATAGATAAATCTCAAACACATTGGGAAGAGGGAAAGAGGGAAGACAGAACAGTATGTTAAATCATTCTATTTACAGAAAGCTCTAGAACAAGCAGAACTATAGTGACAGAACGAAGGTCCCGCTTGCCTCTGAGGCTGAGGGGGGTTTGGCCTGAAGGGGGCGACGGAAATAGTCTACAATCCTGACAGGACGGTGGTTCTCAAGGTCAGATCAGGTTATGCTTGTCCAGTCTCCTAAAGGCCGCACTTGGGATCTGCGCGCTTCACCGTATGGGAGTTACACCTCGGCAAAAGGCGCGGGGCACCCTGGGCCCACCAGCGCCCCCCCCCCCCGGCAAGACCCGCCTTCCCCAAGGCCCCTCTTGCTCTTCTGAGCGCGCGCCGGAAGGGAACCCCGGGGCCCCCCCCCTTTGCCCGGGCGAGCTCGCTCGGCGCACGCACCGGGGCTGCGGCAGGTTGGAGCTCTGGCCGAAGGCGCGGCCGCACGCCCCGCACACAGGGGCTGTCCCCGCGGTGCGCAGTCGCCGCAAGCGAACGGCTTCCCCCGGGAGTGCAGGCTCCGGTGCTTCGCCGCGTCCGAGGCGCACTTGCGCTGCGGTCGCACGCGCCGCACGGGTAGGGCCGCCCCTTCCGGGGCCCTGCGTCCGGGGCGGCGGCCCCGCCGCGGTCGCGGCTGGTCCCCCCTGCGGGTTTCTCAGAGACGGCCGGTGGCCCCGGGGAATCCCCGCGACCGTCCAGAGCCCCGGGGCCGGCCCAGCTCGCGCTCTCCGCCGCATCCCCCTCCTTCGGAGGCGTCCTGCTGCGGCGCTGGCCCCGCGCTCGGAGCCCCCGCTCTGTCGCCGAAGCAGCACGGCCAGGGGCCCGCGGGCCGCCTGCCGCTTGCGCCAGGGACGCTGGAAAAGAGGGTCAGACATGTGTGACTCGAGGCCCAAGGAAGCCCTAGGACAGGACGCTGCCCGTGCGGGGCACGGTCACCGTGCAGACACCTGCGTGCGGCCGGCGCAGTTCCTGCCAGCCGCCCGCCTCCCTAACACCCGCGCTCCGAGGAGCGGGCGAGGCCGCGAGGGGGCGAATCGGGACCCTCCGCTGCGACTCCAGGGTAGCTTGAGCCTCTACCCTCGGTCTCGGGAGGGCAGGAGACAGAAGCCCGGGCTCTGGGTGCTCCCTGGCGCTGCCGCATGGCCTGGAAGGCAGACAAAACTGGCAGCAAACCGGAAGATCACCAAAGTAGAGGCACCGGGAGGCGTGGGGTGGTGCCCGTGGGGTGAGTGGTGGCCACTCGCTTCTCCGACCCCGGACTCCCCACGACAGCTCTGTCCGTGACAGCTCCCCACAACCCACCAAACCAAAGAGCCTCCGGCCCGTGCAAGCAAGAGAAAGCTGCTTCAGAAATCAGGGCGCAGAGTCAGCAACGGCCGGCGCCAGGAGACCGCGGCAGGGCTGAAGGGCCCCCCGCGCCCGGCCGCGCAGGGGGAGGCTGCTGCGTGCTCTAGGCCCCGCCGGCCCCCGGGCACGGACCAGCACCCACTTAGACAAACAGCTTTAGGGCGTGGTCGCAGAACCCTGGGGGTGAGAACGCGGCTCTTGCCACCGCGGCAGCGCCGGGAGGGGTGCCTGCGAGGGGAGACAAGGAGGCTTCCCTGCTGGTGGCCCAGGAGGAGGGCGGCCCCCAGGGCGAGCCCATCAACCTGCAGAGCAGCTTTTCGGGGAAGGCGGTGCCTGTCCGGCTGGATGGAGCGCCTCCCTCTCCGCTGCCCCCTCCCCAGGCCCTGCATGGCTGGGGGGCGGGCTAGGGGCAGGCGCCCACAGCCACTTCCCGCTTCTCTAACGAGGGGGCCTCCAGCTGAGCATCCGGCGGTGGAGGGGGGGGCCCAGGCCCAGGGCTGGGAAAGGAGGCGCTCTGGGGAGGCCCCGTCTGACCTGTGGTTTCGCAGACCTAGAAGTTCAAGAAAGGGCCTCACAGGCACTGGTTACGAGACAAGAGTTACTCGGAGTTAAAATGGGCGGGCCGCGTACACCCTTTCCAGTTGCAGGGGGTCAGGCGTCCGGTCCTGTGAACCGCTTGTCCCCGGGGCAGTCCCAGGCCCGGCAGGCAGCCGGGTGCAGGCGGTCCTCCCAGTGACAACCGCCAGGGGGCCCTGAGGAGCCCTGCACGCAGAGCACGCGCTCTCACGGGGGCAGCTTTGCAGGCGGCACCTCCGGCTGTGGCGGAAAACATCTCTGGGTGTCCGAGCGGAGGGGGCGAGGCTGGCAGCCGGTGGGGAGAGGCCAGGGGCGCTGGGGAACATCCGAGAACGCACGGGACAGCTTACAACAGGGGTCTCCGGCCCCCGAACGTCCACGAGCCAGGCTGACAGCCTGCCGGAGGGAGCCTTCCCGAATGGCTGTAACCGGGAACCGTCCCCTGGCGAAGAGCCCGCCGCCAGCCCGCCACGCACGAGAGCCATCCCGGCGGCACTGGCCTCACCGGGCCGCATCCCACGTGCGGGCCGGAGGTCTCGCGCCCGTGCTCAGGGCCGGCCACCAACTCGCGGTGCTCTTTGCTCCCGTAAACGCGTGCCCTGGTGTACCCCGTTTCTCCCCCACCGCTCTGTGTGTGCTGGCATTTGCTAAAATTCTTATTTTGTCCCAGAGTGCGGGACTGCGCAGAGCCCCGTGCAGGCGGGATCCACCGGGGTTAGGGTCGGGGCAGGGGAGGGAGAGACCCAGCCTAGACGTCCGGGACTTGCAGGCAGCTTCAAGGCAGGGCCTGAGGAAGGGGTGAGTGTTTGTTCGTGGACACGGGGGTTCTCTGACTTCACAGGAGAAGAGGTGCAGGTGCCGGGGCCGTACCCCACCCAGGCTCCCGCTGCCCATGCAGCAGACGCGGATGTGGGGCAGCGCCCTCGGCAGTGGTGTGTTGCGGGCGGAGGGGAGACGGCGTGGTCCTGCAACAGCACTGACCCGGATAGGAGTCCTCAGCTTCGACAGCCCGCCAGCGTGGCCTTAGATCTTCAGAAAAGGGAGCCCGGAGCCTGAGAGGGCAATGGGCGAGGGCCTAGCCAGAGTCTCACTCCTCATGCTCTTCCGGGGCACCGGGTCTGAGCCCAAGCTAGCCGGGCTCTTGAGAAACAGGGCCAGAATTAACAGTCTTGTTCTCAGAAGTCTCCAGGTTGGGGGGGGGGGCAGAGAAAGAGAGAGGGGTGCAGAGTCTGGCCCAGGGAGCAAAGGGTTGGAACGGGCAGCGGTGAGGACAGCGGGCAGCAGGATGGCAGCCGGACTGGGCAGAGGGGATAGGGCAGTGCTGCCCGGGGCCAGCTACGTTCCCTAGCTGCTGGGCAGGTGGGCGCTGGGAGCCTCGGTTCTTAAGCTGTCGCCTCCTCCCCATCCCCATCGGCCCGTCCACCCCTCACCTGTGTGTGTCCATCAGGGTGGCCGTCTCAGTGGCCCGCTGGAGACCAGGCCTGGGGGCGCGCCTCGCTGTGCCTCGTCGGAACGCCAGCAGTGGGTACACCTGCCCCAGTAAGGAAGACAAAGGGGGGGGGGAAATGGCAGGAAAGTGGAGGTGAGCTGGGAATGCCTTCAGAGAGGGCAGAGCTGCTCTTGGGGACCCTGAACAAGCCACCTCATCCACTGTGCCTGCTTCTGCCACTAGCAATCAGTCATGACGAAACAGACACCGCAGAAATGAGTGTTCATAGGGTTCCCCTGGGATGCTGTCTAGACCATGCTGGCCCCACCACCCCCCGCCCAATAGACAGATAGCAGCCCCTGCTCGCTGCCTGCGGTGGCCCTGTCCACGACCAACTCGCCCACGATGCCTGTGGTCAGTCCTCAGACGCCTGGAGACATATCTAGGGAATTGCTTTTTTTCTTGATAATTGTAAAGATTTGAATATAAAAATATGAAATCAAAAAAGTAAAACATCATTTGAGGGGCGCCTGGGGGGCTCAGTTGGTTAAGCAGCTGACTTCAGCTCAGGTCATGATCTCACAGTTTGTGGAATTGAGCCCCATGTCAGCCTCTGTGCTGACAGCTCGGAGCCTGTTTGGGATTCTCTCTCTCTCTCTCTCTCTCTCAAAATAACTAAATAAATTAACAAAAATTATCTGAGTGGCACAGTTTTGGATTGAGGAATGACCCTGCTATGCTTTGCACTAAAGGTAAAGTCTGACAGATGTAACTACACAAAGAAAGTTAGTGTAAAAAACAAATGAAAAAACCGGGCAGGGGCATGTTTATAACATAAAGATTCATGTCCTTAATGTATAAAACCCACTACATATTAACGTTAAAAACATGAAAATTGGTAGAAGTCACAAACAAGTAACCCATAGAAAGAAAGCAGACAGGTGGCCGATATATTTTTAAATATAAGTCCCTCGTTTGTCCCACCTCATTTGCAATTAAGAAATGTAACTTAGGGGCACCTGCGGCTCAGTCGGCTGAGTGTCCAACTTCGGCTCAGGTCATGATCTCACAGTTCGTCAGACTGAGCCCCGCATGGGGCTCTGTGCTGACAGCTCAGAGCCTGGAGCTGCTTCCGGTTCTGTCTCCCTCCCTCTCCGCCCCTCCCTGGCTCACGTTCTCGCTCTCTCAAAAATGCATAAACAGTAAAAAATGTTTTAAAGAAATATAATTTAAAATATGACTTTTTAGCCTCGTGTGGTAGCACCTTGGCAGCGAGGAGAAGGCTGGGGGAGACAGGCACGTGCTGCGCGGCGAGGGGACAGTAAGTGCCACAGCTGGGCTGGCCAGCTTACACAGGTCTACAGTCCACCGTGACTTCGCTTCTGGGGAGTCACCCCGACAGTGAGATACCGGGTGCCGGCGGAGAGCTGCCCGTGTGGACGCTTCCTCTCCAACTTGTTCGGGAAGAAACCTCGCAAATAACGTAATTAAAACTAAAAACCAGGGAAAGATAAAGTATATGAGCGGCCGGGAATGAAGCCACCCCTGACGACCGTCACTCTGGTTAGGGAGAAGCCGTCCCAGAGGCCATCTCACTGGTCAGGGGTCTCCTGAGGCTTGGTGGGGGGCAGAGAGGGCTGTTTCCCGGTAGTCACACTAGTCAGGGGAAACTGTCCCCAAGGCCATTTCACTGGTCAGGGGTCTCCAGAGGTCATCACACTGGCTTGGGGGTGGGAGTGTCTCCTGGCCTTCACGCTGGTCAAGGGGAACTGTCCCCAAGCTGTCATGGGGTCAGAGGGAGGACTTGCCGAGGTTGTCACACTAGTCGGAGAGAGACTCCCCTGTGGCTGTCACTCCCCACGGCGCACGTGCACCTCCTCCAAAGCGAGAGCCCAGCAGAGGCGCACGTACCGCGCCCGGACCCCTAGGTTCCCGCTCCGGCACAGCCCATAGCCGCCCACCGCCACTCACCTGCAGCCCCGCCGTTCGCCGGAAGCGCCGCGTCCCCTCGCCGCGGCGGGGGCACCTCTGGTGACGCTCTAGGCCCCGGGAGGACTGAGCGCTCAGCTGCCCGGGAGGCTGCGGCGCGCGCGGCGCTAGGTGGCGCTCTAGGCCGCGGAGGCCCGTGCGCCCCGGCTGCGCGCGCACTGTGCTCGCTCCGGTCGCGGCGGTGTCCCGGGGGACGCCGCCCGCCCCGCCCGCCGGCCTCTCAGACCCGCGATCCCTCGCCTGCAGCCAGGCCCGGGTGGGGTCCGGCGGCGGCCGAGTGGGCCGCGGGGCGAACCAACGAGCGGACGAGGCGCGTGCGGGTGGAGGGCGGTGGGGGCGCCGCGGGGGCAGAGGACCGGCGAGGGGGTCCGGGGCCCCGCGTCCCGGAGAGGGGCCGGGAGCGCCCGCGGCAGGGCGGGCTCGGCGATCGCGGCCCGCCTCCCGGCCGCGGAGACCCCTCTTGCTCCGCGTCTCCCTCGCCAGCGGCCTGCGGTGCCCTCCCGCCTGCGCGCTTAAAACTGACGGCGGCAGGCGCGGCCCAAGGGCCCAGGGCAGGTCCGCAGGATCGGCCGAGGGGCCTCCAGGCTTCTCGCAGGACCGAAGTCAAACGCGAGCCGGAGAAGAGTGCGGCGTATTGAGCGCTGTGAGCAACAGGTAGACAGTAGCAGACGGAGCGTCCAGTGGACTCGGGAAGGAGAGGGGTTCTCCCCGTCGGTTGGGTTAAGGGACTCTTAATGGAAAGGGGTCCAAGGTACTGCTGCTTCGGGAACCTAGGATGGGATCCCAGCAAAGGCCAGGTGAACAATGGATGTTACTCTGTAAATCATCAAAACGGGTGGCAAACGGTCTTCTTCAGGCTTTCGCGGGGCCTCTGACGACCAGGTGCCAGAAGACGGCTTCTTCTCTGCCGGCTAGAAGGGTGACTTCGTCCTGGGCTGCGGGTTATTTTTCCCTCCCAACAGGTTCAGGGGTGCTTCTGAGGGGGACTGTTTCTGCTCAGGATCCCTTCCGTCATGCGTTCTGGGGAGAGCACACGTTTCCTTCTGGGGAGTACTCTTCCCTCTGTTGCCTTAGATCATTTTCAAGCAGAGGCCACACCGGGCCCTGTAGGATCAGAAGTGGAAAGGTGACGGGGTGGGCGCCTCGGTGGCTCAGTCGATTAAGCATCCGGCTCCTGATTTCTGCTCCGGTCGTGATCTCATGGCTCATGGGATCGAGCCCCGCCAGATGGAGCTTACTTAGGATTATCTCTCCTTATCTCTCTGCCCCCTTCCCCACCCCACCCCCAAATAAATAAACATTTTTTAAAAAGAAGAAGAAGGTGACAGCGCTGGTCACATGGAGGTTCTGGCCCTGGCCAGGAAGCCTGGGTGCCCGGCGTTCGTGAAGCAGCGCCTGATTGTGCGGCTGCCCCAGGTCCTTCTGAGCCAGTGTGTGCCCAGGGCTCCCGTTACTCTCGCTGTTGCTTTGGCAGTTGTCCATGACTTCGAGGGTCCAGCCCTGGGCCCCCAGGAGCTGGCAAGGGCCCGGAGGGGGGGACGGGGAGAGGCCTCTTCAGTGGGGCCAGGCGGGGGGGAGGGGATGAGGCCCAAACTCACACTGACTGGCCTTTGGCCCCAGCTGGTGCCCGTGGTCTGTCCCACCACTGAGGCAGCCTGTCTGTAGCCCCTGACCGTGCCAGTCACCTCGTCAGGTAGTAAGAACCCTGCGAGAGAGACCACTTTGCACACGAGGAAATCTGGATTCCAGAGGCACAAGCTGGCACACAGGAAAAGGAAGTGACCTCTCACTCAGGCAGGATAATCCTGGCTACTCTGTACTAGCAGGCGAGCCCCCAGTCTCTGTGGCTGGAAACTCCAGGGCGCCATGCTCATGGCGGTTGGTGGGCTCTGCTCCACTGGGCTTCGTCCTTCCCGGGCTGGGCCCACAGCCTGGGCACCACCGGGCCACTGCTGGCCATGAGGGAGACAGAACTGGGAGACGGCCTCCTGGCTCTTCATGGTTCTCTTTTATTACAAGCCTTAGGCGCAGCCAGGTTCGAGTGAATTCTATCGTGGCCTGAGGAAAAGGTGAGGGTCAGGGCCACAGAGGACCGGGCTGGTGGGCGGTCAGCAGTGGCGCCAGGTGGGAATGAGCCTAGGTGGTCTGAATCCGCACTCGCTGCCAGGACAGTTACCTCTTTTGGCCCCAAAGGAGCTTCAGGATGCAAGAGGGCAGAATGCAGATCACAGGCGGCGGGCCCCAGAAGCTTCCTCAGGACCTGCAGCCCACCGCCTTCCCGCCCCGGGCTCTCTCTGGAGCGCCGCCTCCAGTCCCCAAGGGCAGCCTGGCAGCTCACCCGCCGCGTCCTGCGTGCGGAAGCCTTTCCACGGCAGGTGGCATCGGTAAACATCCACTATATACCGTATTATTTGTGTGTAACTGATAATAAAACAACACGTAAAAATTAAAACATTTAAAAAGGATGATCTCAGAGAAACCGACTTCCCTCCGCATTCCCGCGGGAAACCCGGGGCATTCTGGAGAGTGCTCCTCCCGCAGGCGACACTGCGAACGGCGAGTCCTGCCTCCCGCCGGGACAGTGCAGCTCGGGCCGCCCCGCGCACGCCCCTCGCTGCCCCCACCGTCCGGCTCCCGGCGCGCCCGGCAGAGGCGGGGGCCAGGGCGGAGGGGGCCGAGCGACCCCGACCTGGAGGCCCCCCCGGCGGCCGGGGGCGAGCTGCCTGGCGGCGGGTCCTCCAGCCCGGCCTATGGAAGGGACGGGACTGTGTGCGACGGGCGCCAGGGCTCAAGCCCGCAAAGTCTACGTAAGGGGACAGACAGGACATACGCTGTGTAATAATCCTTTAAACGTGTAAAGACCATCGGTGCCCTGTGGCCGTACAAAAGCGGCCGTGGGCGCCGGGCCCTCCGCTTCCCGCGGTCCCGTCCACGGCGGGCCTCCGGGTCTCGCGCGGAAAGGGCCCTCCACTCCGCGCGACCGGGACTCCGTCTGCGCGCGTCCCACGTGGAGGCCCCCAAGGGGGCGAAGAGGCCCGGGGTGGGGAGCAGGGGGCGCCTGCCGGGAGGACCTTGCGCGGCCGCCTCGACTCCCGGGTCCGTGCGCACCCGGCGGAAGGAGCGGCCGCGCTCGGGGCAGCGGGGAGGCTCCTCGCCTGCGCACCCGCCGGTGCAGGGGGGCTGGGGTTCGGCGGAAGGGCTTCTCCGCGCGGAGGAGCCGCAGGCGCCGCGGGAAGTGCGAGCCGGGCACAAAGGCTTCCCGGCGCCCGTGCGCCCCCCACCCCGGGAGGCGCCCCCCACCCACCTTCTCCCCGCCGGGAAGCTTCCGGTGCGGGAGGGCTGGGTGTGGGTTGGCGGGGGGGGGGGGGGGGGGGGGGGAGGCGCAGCCTGGCGGATTGCTTGCTCACCCAGCTGGGTCTCCCCACACCTGCTGGATTCTGAGGGGCGCCTCCAGCTGGGGTCACAGCTACAGGGGCTCCCGCCTGTCCAATCGGACTGGTGGGTCACCAGCTTCACAGTGAGGCTGGCTTTACCTCTAGGCTCCTGTTGGCGGTTCCTCTCCTCCCTGGGGGTTGTCTGATGCTTGCAGGTCTTGTGCGGCGGCCCTGCCCGCCCCTGTGCACCCCGATGGCCTCTGCAGGACCCAGCAGGTCCTTGGCCCGGTGGCCCAGGCCTTGGAAGCCCTGCCCCCAGACACCCTGCGGCTCCGTCTCCTCCACGGTTTCCTGCAGGAGAACCTGCTCCTCATTCTGGGCTCTGAGCTCACGGTCTGAGACCAGAAAGGGAGGAGGCCAATGTCACCAGACTCGAAGCCACAGCATGGAGAGACTTTGGGGACCGCAACGTCGTCTCATTAGAGACAGTGGCTTGGGAGAAAGGAAGCAAGGACGTATTCCCGGGGCGGGATGGGGTATTTGGTGGGTTATACAAAGATTGCGGGGAGGGAGGGGATGTCAGGCCAGAGGCAGGCGGTGGAGGGCACAGGGGCAGGGGGCAGGGCCCGGGAAAGGGCTGGCGAAGTGCATCTGGAACATCCTCACTCCCACGTGCAAGTCAGTGCAACGTTGGCATCCTGGGGGCTGGCCTCCCTCCCAGGTGCGCCTCCCCTGGGAGATCCAGGAGCTGGGAGTGTGCGTCCCTGCCCGGCTGTTGTAAGAGGGCCAGGCCAGGCCAGAGCTGTCAGGCTGCGAGTTCGGAGGTGCAGTGCCCCCTCGAGGCAAGACACGGAAGCCGCAGAAACAGCTCCGCGTCCCGGGAGGAGAGCCGGCTCCCTGGACCCTGCGGAGCCGCTCCGGGCGCTGGCCTCTGTCCCGTGGGCGGGTTGAAGCGATGCCCCTCCAGCTTCATGTTTCCGTGTCTGCCTCTTGCTCTCTCTGTGCTGATGTGACAGAGCAACATCACTAAGAATATCTAGAATCTGCTTACCTTTCCTAAAAATAAACCAGGACTTCTGTTCAAAGATAACTGTGTAGAGAACTTTTACTTCCTTTTTTCCTCTCAAACTACTGACAACATAGAGGGATAATAAAGAATGGATGGCGGTGGGAGGAAGCCCAGAACCACAGCCTGGGAGGCCCCGCCTCGCGCAGGCCTGGCTGAGCACAGCCCTGAGGGGCCCAGTGAGGGTGTGAGTCCCCAGGTGAGGGGGGCACAGTATCTCAGCTCCGAGGCCACGCTCCCTTGAGGACTTGTGCCGGGAGTGGCAGAGCAGGTGACAGGGCGAGGAGCTGAAGTCAGGGTGGGTTTGACCCAGCCGCCCGCTGCCCCTCAGCCCTGCCTTCCCCCAGGGCAGGCGGAAGGGACTCGGGATGCCCTCAGATCGCTCCCCACACGACAGTGAAGAAATTACAAAGGGCATCACTAACATAAACGAAGAGCCCAAAGGAACCCGGTGCCACACAAGGGGCTGAATCAGCAGAACGCAGAAAGAAAAGGTAGGAAAGGCACCATCAGTGCCTGGAGGAAGAAGCCGAAGAGAAGACCTCTAGCGAGCTGCCTCCAGGGGCCGAGGGATCAGCCTGAGGGGCCTGAGTCCTTTAAGCACCCGAAGAGATTGGGGCAGGGCTGCAGGTGAACACGTGCG